TTGAAATACTTAAAGTCCTGTAGAAGTGGCTGTTGCAAAACATTTGGCACACTAACAGAAATAATGTAAGTTTGCTGGGGTTTGTGAGTAATCTAACCCAAAGGGGGGAGGAAATGCTTTGAAGTGTTTTCAAAATTGCCACCATCCTTAATTATTTAAATGCAAGTTAATTAATTTTCTGTAATTATCTCTGTGCTGTGAAGACAATGTTGAAACAGGAAAAAGTCAATTGGGGGGGGGGATTATATAACCCTTTGCTTTGAAACCACTCAGGACAATTGGCATTGTTTTTGCTTCTCACTGAACAGGAATTTGTCAATCTGTATTCTGACTACATTCTCAACAAATCAGTGGAGAAACAGTTCAAGGCCTTTCGAAGAGGGTTTCACATGGTAACCAATGAGTCTCCCCTAAAATATTTATTTAGACCAGAAGAGATTGAATTGCTTATTTGCGGAAGTCGGGTAAGATATTTTATATGTGCATATAAATGACCAGTTGCCTGTTGCTGCTTGATCCTAAAGCAAGGGGTGGTGGTGGTGATACACTGTCTTGTATTTCCAGAATCTAGACTTTCAAGCCCTAGAAGAAACTACAGAATATGATGGCGGCTATACCAGAGACTCCCTTATTATTAGGTATGGGTTTTAGCTTTGCATCAGTGGAATGGAGAAAACAGTGTGTCTCAAACATGTCATGTAAATTCACAAATATGATGTTCATATACAACACACTTGTGAGTGTTGGAGGGGAGATTTAGGTGTTTGCAGTGTGAATCTTTTATACTCACAGGTAAAACAGAAAAATGTGCCCTTTTCTTTATTATTACACTCGTCTGACCGAAGGTCTTGAGCAAAGGCAATACAGATTCAAATACAGATAAAATACAAAGCAGTAAATGTTAAAATACAGAATAGAGACTTAAAACCCTTCTCCGGAATGACATAAAGAAACTACAAGCCCAAAGAATTTGGCAACAGGTCATTTCCAAACTGGTGTCTGCTGACAAGAAAGAGATCACGGGAGATTCGACAGGCAGCTGATACTTACTCAGGATAGATGTAATCCAGAGGTCTCTGAGCAGCAGCCATCAATCACAGAATAAGATGAGGTGATCTGTCATCTCTGTTACTCCAGATATGCATCAGTGGTCAGAATATGGACAAAAAAATGTGTATGTTATTTAGATAGCTGGCATGACTATTTGGGAAAACCAGGGGGTGCTCAAAACGAGGGGGACCAACAGACTCCCGAATTCCAAAATGTCTTCAATAATTGCTTGTGTAAATAGACTGAAGACAAGGGACCCTTCTGTGGCTGAGAGGAACATCGGATAGCTTAGAAAGGAACAACGGGCCAGCTGTTCACTACCCTCTTCAGTCGTAGCCCTGAAACAGAGAGAAAATACTGCTGGAATGGGTTTGAAGGCAGAGATTGGGCCACCTGCCACTTCCTGTGCGTTTACTGCAAGGGGGGCTGCTGCTACTGCGCACCTGTATAGCCTGTTGTTAGTGTGAGGGGACCATGTCAGAGTGAGATGTGTTTACTCTAGAGAACTCTTATGGCAGTCGTATACAGACTGCTCTAGACCTTGTTGTATTTGATGTGGGTGATTTTCAGGCATTATCAGTTGCTCGTGTTTCTGAAATCCCACTCCTTCTAAATGATCTCTCAGAAATGCAGCCACTGATAATCTGACCAAAGTTCTGTTTAGGCTGCAGCTTGCTTCTAGAAGAAGCTTTGCTAAGAATACATATGCAGAAACTTCTTTCTGTTTCTTTATGTCCATAACTGGATTGAGTCAGCTATGTTTCTTTCTGCGTAGGATGACCGAGATTTATTACAGTTTAAGGGACCAAAAAGTTATCTCTAGAAAATACAGGGTACTATTTGTACAAGTAATCTTTTACTTCTGCCCAGCATTTTTATGTTGTTTCCTTTTCACCTCTATAGGGAATTTTGGGAAATAGTCCATTCATTTACAGATGAGCAAAAAAGACTGTTCCTCCAGTTTACAACAGGCACAGATAGAGCACCAGTAGGAGGACTTGGAAAACTAAAAATGATTATAGCCAAAAATGGCCCTGACACAGAAAGGTAAGAATTTAGATGTTCCAAATCTTTCCCTTTTTTAAAGTCACAAGTTTTTGAGGATCGTTCTAATTCTTTTGCCATTAACGATGCTGCTTTGATAAAGAGGTGTGTTAAAAAGTAAAATTAAGGCATAGTTCAAACCTTGCCTATAGAATAACAGTGGGATTTTTTTTCCCCCCAAGGCAAATGCTGTTTAGAGCAAATCAGCATACTCTCCCAGAAGGGTAATTCTTTTCTCTTTCTCTTCTGTTCCCTAGGTTACCTACATCTCATACATGCTTTAATGTCCTTTTGCTTCCGGAGTACTCCAGCAAAGAAAAACTTAAGGAGAGATTGTTGAAGGCCATCACATATGCCAAAGGATTTGGCATGCTGTAATACAATAAATAAAATAACAAAAGGGATAAAAGAGATTGGTGGTGATGGTGTCCCTGCCCCAAAAACAAAGCGAGCCCCCACAAAAGGCCATAAGATATAGCAAGCTACAGTAGTCCACCCGTGTTTGTGCCTCCCTTCTTCACTTGGGGACATTGGGCTGGAACAGCAGATTTCAGCTGCTTCTATGAACAAATTATTTTTCTTTTAGCGTGAAAGTGTTACATATTCTTTCACTTGTATGTACAGAGAGGTTTTCCTGAATATTTATTTTAAAGGGTTAAATCACTTTTGCTTGTGTTTATTACTGCTTGAAGTTGAGCCTTTTTTTGAGTATTTACGAGAAAACAAAACTGTATTCTTCTCTCCCCCCCCCCCCCCCACCCGCCCCAGAAGATATTGCCATCATTTGTAGATTGTGTAACCTTTTAAGTCTGTGCTACATTTTTGTCCCGGTAATCAAATCAAAATCAGGAACTGTACTTTTTTGAACGGTTTTGCTTTTGAAACTTGAAGTCTTGGAGGGGAAAAAAAAATGGTGTGATGCAATGACTGCTGTTCTAGCCCCCAAAGAAATTTGTGGAAAAAATAAATCTTTAGAATCAATAAAGATGGAAGGGAGAACTTGGAATGTTAAGCTGCAGCCTTGAGAACTTTACTTTAGTCACAGCACAACAATTAAAAAAAAAACCTCATTTCACTATACATGTTGTCTTTCCCATGTCTTGTCTTGTAGCATTCTGTATTTTTTAATTAGCAGGGTTTCCCTAGCTATATGGAAAGCGTAAACATGGTTAGGTTGGGGTTTTGTTTTGTTTTTTTTTAAAAAAAACAATGTTTACTTGGGGGGAAAGTGCATTTTCAGCCAAACCGCATTAGAATAGAGTGAAACGTGGAAGAAAATGGATAGAAAGTTGGGTCTATAAACAAAAGCATGTGGAAGTGCACTTAAAATGAAATTTTAATGGCCTATTACGTTGACGTTTTAACTAGACAATCCGGTCTTCCCTACGAGTTACTTTAATGATTTGTTGTTCCTTGATCAAGGCATATGATCAGTGCTGCAGCAAAGGGATGCCACCCCACCCCTCCCCCCTCCAGCAGTAGGGGGTAAATAATGTTTTAAGGACACATTTGCATTGTAATACTTTTAACACATTCATTGTTTTGTGTAGAAGGTAAATCCTGAGGTCACTTGCCTATTACATGGACATGCCATAGGTTCAGAATGTAAATCTGCACACCGTATCAAAGGATCCCTTTTCCTTTCTACAGATAGTCCCTGCACGCTGGTGATGGCTGCTGTTGCAATATAAAAATTAAAGGGACTCTGCATTTTTTTACCCACGGAACTGTAATTGGCGTACCTCTTCTAACTGCAAGTGACAGCTGTTGTGCAGAACTGAGCTTGTGCCTTGGTGATTGCTATGCCTGACGACTACTACTAGTACTACACAGCAAATCAACCTGATTTGTGCAAAATTGGTATTTAAAAGGTGAAATTTTGAAATCATTGGCAGGAGAAAATATGTCTTTCAGGATTATTTTATTAAATTCTTTTTAGTAATAGAAACAGGCAACTGTTATGTAACTATAATGCTAAATAAAACAGTGATGTTTTCCACCATGATCCGGTGAAAAAGAAGAAAAGTGATTTTCTTAGCTTGATAAGTTACCATTGGCTATCATTGGAATTATTTGCCTAGGAACTTTGATTTAAATTAAACCACATGTTGAGCCTTGGTATAAAGCAGCTCCTAACAGCCCATTCACCTGAAACCATTCAAGAGTAAGCTGCTTTACTGGTAGAGAGATTTTCTGCCGTTATCGTGTTGGTGGCTCTTTGATGTACCTCTCAAAATGGGTCACAATTTGCAAATGCCATCCAAAGAAATGAAACACTAAATGGGTGACATTTCTTTTAGTCAACTTACCAGTTAGTATTTCTAAATATGTATCCCAAACTTGTAAATGCTTCAAAGGAGGTACTAGATGTATTTATTTCTTCTGTGTCCTTTTTTTTGTTGTTCATTCATTTGAAGGCCTTGCTTATAGTAGACCTTTTCCAATACTTAAAAAAAGATGTTCTCTCTGGCGGGTTGTAGAACATTTTTCAAGCAAAGCCCAGTTAAGAAACATGCTTGTTTGACATTTCAGACGTTGGAAAAGGCCATTAAGTTTTGCTGGGAATTCTAAACTATGACCAAATACATTCTCGAGGCAGCTATGATTGCCCTCTAGCGAAGAAAAGAAGTCCTGCCCCCTTTTTTCTTTTGTGGTACAATATTGCTGGAGCAGTTCCAAGGCATTTGAATGGTGAATACTGCTCTTTTTAGGATTTGCCTTTTTATAGAAAGTAAACCTGGAATTCTGAAAATCTGGGTATAATCATGGCATTTTCATTGTAACGGCCTAAGGAGGCCTTCCCCCTTTCCTTTGCACTGTTCCACCTGAGGTATGTCTCACATTTTTAGCATTTTGCTCAATTGTTACGAATGAGAGATCAGGAAACTATCCTGCATGAACTCCGTTGGGGCAATTTCCATGTAGAGAGAGCTCAGAGATGGAACTTCACACACTTAATACACTGTCCTGTGATACCAGGCAACCTGCAGGGTAGAATGAAGAAAGAGATTGTACTCACAGGCAAGATTCTTAGATTAAGGGAAGTGTAGCAAAAATAGTAGTACATCCCCCCCCCCCCCAAGACCAGCTGGAGGCGTATTGTAACCGTCTGCCTTCCCCACTCCTACCCCAGCTGCTCTTGTGCTCTTGCACAAAAAGCACCTCATGGCACCAACCACAGGAGGAGACCTCAGGACCCGAATATGTCACATTGCAGCAAACGGTAACAGGAAACCGTGCTGCACTTGGATTGCTCGGTTCTGTGCCTGAAGATAGTCTGGTTGTTGATGCAGAAGCGGAAGACAGTGGGAGACACTGGGCAGTTAGTTCAGTGTAAGAAAAAGTTGTGAGAAAAACTGAAAGGGTGGTGGGTTATCCCATTGTGGAGAATAGCAAAATGGGGATGAGATTCCTGTACGTGCCTATGTTCCAAATTTCCTCTTAATTCGGAGATATATTTTGCTTAATGTGTTTAATTCTAAATAGAATTGTCCACGGTCACTGCTAGGCACGACATTTCAATGTTGAAACAAGAAATGTTTTTATTCAAGTTTTGTCTATTTCCAGAATTCAACAAAAAGCATTCTGTTGCTGAATCATATTACGCTGATCCGTGTAAACGTAGCAAACTCCATGTTTTCCATAGTATACCTGGATCTTTTCTGAAGACTTAACTGCCATTAAGCCTTTCAAAATGCATGGCTGTAGACTTACCATTATCATTCTACAGAATCTTGGGAAGCTTGCCTGGGTTTGTTTCCTAATTTGAGAGAGAGAATTGCTGGGACTAATGGCAAAACTATGGGTTGCATGGGCAGTTTGTGATATTTAGATTGTCTTTTCTGTTTTAAGCCAAAATATTCAACCCAGGCTTTTCTCAGTAAAATCTCCTTTCAGGGAAAAATGGTAGCTGAGTATCCTGATTGGGGAGTGGGGGGGGGGCGCAACCAGGATTCTGCATTAGATGCCATTCTTCATTCTTTGTGGCTCCATTGCAGTTATGCAGACTTCCAGAGCTCCCTTGATTGGGAGATGGTCTAAACCAGTGGAATGCAGAAGTATTCTAAGTGGGTTCCTAGTAACCATTACCAGGAACTTGCTCTCCCTGCTTCTGTGTGTTCATCTGCAAGTGTGACATGCCATATCCTGCCAATCCTACTCACCACGGATTATCCATCTGACTTTTTGGCCTGCAAGTAGTAACCTTGACTCTCTCTGTTTCTCCTAATCCCCCTCCCCCATTCCTTATGCCTACCAGCAAGTATCTTTGATGTGCTTCCTTTTGCTGACCTTACTTGCCAGGGATTAGCCACTGTGCTTCTGTGATGCTGTTTGTCCGTAAAATTTACCATAAATGATAAGTACAGTATGAGAATGCCACTGAACATATAAACGCCCTTTTTCAGAAAACTGGGCTTTCTGTTTCTATCATAATGGGACCTGGTTTCTTTGATAAAATGGTTAGTGGGATATAAGCAACAAAATGTAGAGAACCACTCATTCATCTCTCTGCTCATTTTAAAGCTACAGCAAGAATCAAGAGAGTTTAACATTTGTTCTCACAGTTCCTGAAATGTGCTGAATTTTAGTCAGCAAATGGCTAAAATGTGAAACTGAAATCTAGTAGAAATTTCTTTGCATAGAATAAAAATTTATTATAAAGGGAAGCCGCCTTATAATATACTGTGGCACACTCTGAAAGTTAACACTGATAACAAAAAAAAAATCACTGACGCTTTAAAAGTCTTAGAACTGTCTTGCAGTCAGATCAGACATTACCGTTGCCATGGGACTGTAGCTCTGGCAGATTTCTTTAAAAGAATATGCCATGCAAGTAAGAGCCACCATACAACAGTTCCCCCCCCCTCCACTGCTCAGTGTAATTGGCAGTCACCATGGAAGGTGATGAAGCCCTCGGTGACGGCCCCAACCCATGCAACATGTTTTGCTAAACAGTGCAGCTCAGGGTTGGAAAGTTTGCTGCCGGGATGCCAGTTCCTGCAGCACATGTAACATTTAGCACAGTCTTGAGGAACAGCAAGTGAGACCCCAAGGAAGATTTTCACAGGCTCACCTCATTGTACATGCAGGAGCAATAAAGTTAGTTGTCACTGGCTGCTTATGCTAAGCGAAAGCAGTTGTATCTGCCACCTTTTCCACATGCACAAGACATAGTGCAATGTATTTCATCTGATGCAATTTCAAAACTAATTTCAATTGTGAACCATCTGTTGCACATTCAGTTGCTCCATATGCACATTGTTTTGTTAAAAATTATATTTACGTGCTGTGAGTTGCTTCAGAGGTTCAGCTCTTCTTGCGCAAGCAGAACTGTGCTAGGTACACGTTCCAAAGTCATTTCCAGTGCTTACCAGGTTGCTGCATCCAACCCAATTCTCCCCAAATCTTCATTTTTGATCAGCTGATAAGGGTTATTGTTCGGCCGGTTTCTTTCCATGAGATTCTCTTTAGTAACTATCTCATTATGATATTCCCATCTTGATGGGACTATCTTTTCCCATGAAATTTCCATCCAGTTTCTTTATCGTAATGCTTCGGTGGTTGGTTTCTGGACCTACTGGATTCCATTTGCTTTCCTCCTGCTCAGTATCCAGTAGAGAGTTCTGATTTACATTATAATATCTTTTCCCTAACTTTTCCTGGAGTCGCTCAGAATAATAATCTTGCAAAGTACAGCATTGTTCGTGTTGTAGATCTGTAATTTTCTGGACAAAGAGCTTGACTTTATTATTTAAAAGGCCATCATTCTTTAGCACTGTGTGATTATTCATGCTTGGGTGTCTTCCAAGTAGCGTGTTGTTCAACCCCAAGAAAAGATTCCTAGACTTGGGTCTCTGCTTATAACATTTTTTGTTTCTGCCACTCAGACATTTTGGCTCCGGAAAGTCTTTGTCGACAAATCCTTCAGGGGGAAAAGGCTTCACAGGCAGTGCTGGAACCTGCTGTTTGGATGTTTTTTTCACAAACGTCTCTTGGTAGCTGTCATTCATATTAGACTGCCTGTTGTATTTTTCATAATTGGTGGTGTACGGCCGTCTGCGTTCAAGAAAGAGGACAGATTTGCTGAAGTGCATCTCTTTCTCACTAGTTAAAGCATTTTTGCCACCTGAGCCATTTGTCCTCTGCTCCCCCATTTGTGTCTTTATTTCCTCAGTGTGCCCAAGGCATTTCTGCACATCTTTCATAGTCTCTGCTTCCTTCCCTTGCAAGCCTTCACAAATGCGCTTCTTGGCAAATGAGACTGGAGCCAGATTGCCTTGGATCCTAGACGGAGCAGAAAGAGCTCTCGAGGTTTCTGCGTTCTGTAAAATAACCCTGACAGCTTTCTCACTGCCATCAGTCACGACAGAATGCAAGTCTGGAAACAGGCTCTGGGAAAGCAGTTTCACAAGGTCTTTATTGCCGAGCAGCCTGGCATGAGCCAGTTCGGACCTCCTGAGCTTGATGGTAAACCTCTTATACAAGATTCTTTGATCGAGACTGAGTGCATTTTCTGCCTGCTTCTTCAGGGACTCCAGGGCCCTAAGCTTCTTGCTCAACAGGATCTCTTCTTTTGCATTGCAAAACAAAGCCAGCTGGGATTTCTCTCCATCTTTGAATTTGATTTTTTCGCCCATCATGAAACGTCTGGTTACAGCTGATGCCAAGCAAGTGCCTTGATTTCATCTTGCTTGCGCTGCTCTGTTTTTCTCAGTGGATCATGTTTAGCATTCAGAAGTCTACTGCTGGAGTGTGCAAGAAGGTCTCTGGATTTACTCCAGGGGTGTTAAGTCTTTAGAAGCCTTGAAACCGTACACCAACCATCAGGGGTACGTTGGTGAGATCAAGTTCCTCATCCATGTTGTTAGGGAAACAAACCTGAAGCCTTCTGTTCAAATCTCAGTGAGTGAGAGGTTTATTGGTTTTCCCTTGAATGTCCTTCTTAAGCTGAATAAATATATTTTGCAGAAGAATGCTACAGTTTCTATAAACAGAAGAAGTAAATAGATCAAAGGTGGGAAATGAAATGTGTCTTGTGGGCATGAACCATTTTATTGGCAATCTGGTTGATGTTTGCACAGTTAGCACACAAGGATCACAATGGACATGGTTTCAAGTTGCTATGGTGTCGTT